ATATGTTTTCGATGCAGAGTGCAAATGGCTGTGCATTTATTTGTGTTTTTAACTCGAGGGGAGTGAAATGAAACTGTCTGAACGCGAAGCTGTGTGTTGTCTGTCTCCCCTCTTCCCCCTCCTCCGCGCCGCTGCGCACCACGCTCACTTTTTTAGCATTTTTTAAAACTGTGGTGAGAACTAACCAGTGCTGAAACGGGGGGTTTCATGACCCTTTAACAGTAATAATGTGAAATATTATTACAATAAAAAAACACTTTCTATTTTAATATATTTTTAAATGTAATTTATTTCTGTGATGGTAAAGCTGAATTTTCAGCATCATTACTCCAGTCTTCAGTGTCACATGATCCTTCAGAAATCAATCTAATATGCTGATTTGCTGCTCAAGAAACATTTCTTATTATTATCAATGTTGAAAACTGTTGTGCTGCTTAATATTTTTGTGGAAACGGTGATCAATTTTTTAAGGATTCTTTAATGAATAGAAAGTTCAAAAGAACAGGATTTATTTGGAATAGAGTTATAAATAGAAAATAATTCTTACCAAAAATTGATATTCATATTTTTCTCATACACTTTTTCTATGTTTTCAGTGAGCGTAAAGCAAGAAAACTGTACTACTATGATCTGCGGGAACGTGTCCTGCGCTCAGAATGCCGACAGCAGGAAGAAGTGTATTTCCAGCTGGCAGGATACGCCCTACAGGCCGATCACTCCGACCACCCCTCAGACGGCCACAGTCAGGGACACGCTGCGTATTTCCAACCCAAAGAATACTTTCCACCCTGGGTAAATCTTCATTAGAGTGTATAAAATACAATCACATACATTTGCATCCAACCAGGCAGTGCTTACTTACTTACTCATAGTAAGATTTGTTTTAAGTTGAAAAGTCCAGAATTTGTTGTATTTTGGATGCTTGTATGCTGGTGTCCTCACCAAGGTTTTTAAATAACAAGACTTTCTTGGACAGCCAGCTTCACCAGAAGGCCATGCTGAATGACTAGCATTTTTTGAAAAGCACCAAACCAGCAAATTCTTGTTGTGTTTTTACAGCAGGGGTTTGATTAAAGTTTTTGTGAGTCTAATAAAGCATGGTGAGAGCCCACACTCATTTCATAATCACGCATGACCCGTGTCTGCTCTCTTACAGATAATAGCGAAGCGTGGCATTCACTACCTGCTGTGTCATGGGCCCAAGGTTCATAAAGAGCTGTGGGGGATGTCCTCGCGTGACGCTATCCTGCTCTTTATCAGAGAATCTTGCCGTCTGGAGGATGTTCCAGTCACCTTTTATCGCCTACAGAAGGTCAGAGGTCAAGCACGGTTATCGGAATGTCTTTCTGTAGGTCAAGACATTCTCAGCTGTGGAATGTAGGGAGGTTTTGAAAATATTTTCATCAAAGTAGAAGTTAAAGGTGAAGTACCGTATTGTCCCGAATATAAGACGATGTTTTTTTCTTGGAAATACATCTGAAAAAACGCGGTCGTCTTATATTCGGGCCAATACGGTAATGTCTGCACTACTAGTGGCACCTGATGGAACTGCATTCTGCTTGATTGAGTAATATTACAACAGCAGCTCAACCAATGCTAGAATGATTTCTGAAGGATCATGTGACACTGAAGACTGTAGAAATGGTTGTAGAAAATTCAGCTTTGCCACCACAGGAATAAATTATATTTTAAAGTATAGTTTCATTTAAAGTATATTAAAATAGAAAATCATTTTAATTTGTAATAATTTTTCTCAATATTGCTGTTTTACTGTATTTTACTCAAATAAATGCAGCCTTGATGAGCATAACAGACTTCTTTATAAATATTAAATATCTTACTGATCCCAAACTTTTTAATGTTAGTGTACATTGTGCACCCTGATTTTGATATTTTGTTGTCTAACACAATAGCCGCTTTTCCACGGTCAGGCTAGTGCATGCCAGGGCTAACAACGAGACGAGCAGGGCCAATGGCTTAGCACCTCAAGCCGCGAGCCCAAAATTAAGCCGCGTTTCCACTGTCGGACCATTACTACTGTAAAACCCACCCTTAATACGCCTCTCTAAAGCAAATGTCACACAACCCAAGCATTTCACCAGCGAGGGGAAAATTAATGAAAACTATATTGTAAAACGAACTTAACAGAAAAGGCCATTTGGTCCTTACATAAATACTTAAAACTTCAGCATCGATATTTTATATGATTTACGATAAAAATAGAAATTTATTATTTTGTGTGAGCATGCTTAAACTATTTATCATTATTTCACATTAAAAGAGAACACATACTTGTTCAGTCGCAGCAGCTATACGGTAATGTCTGCACTACTAGTGGCACCTGATGGAACTGCATTCTGCTTGATTGAGTAATATTACAACAGCAGCTCAACCAATGCTAGAATGATTTCTGAAGGATCATGTGACACTGAAGACTGTAGAAATGGTTTCTGAAAATTTACCATCACTGGAATTTTAAATTGTAACAGTTATTTTAGATTGTAGTTATATTTTAATATCACTGTGTATTTGATCAAATAAATGCAGCCTTGGTGAGCATAAGAAACTTATTTTAAAAAAAAAATCTTACTGACCCCAAACTTTCAGTTTTGTGTGTGCATATAATATAGATTTGAATAATTGTATTCATATGTAATATAATTAATATTTTTAATATCAAAATTATTATTGTTTTTATATATGCAATATTAGATATATATTGATTTATTATTAAGTGTGTTAATAAGCCTGTGTCTCTTTCCTGTAGGACAAGAAAGAAGAGAAAGGTTCAGCACTCCTTGGACTCACTCTACGAGGAATGCAAGTGTATCAGGTGTGTGTATCAGAATGCGTGAGGCATTTTTCTTTCCACTACAAATAGGGAAAACCACTTCTTGTATATAATTTGCTGCAGTGCAAAAAACTGGACACAGCAACATCACAACAGTAGTTGTTGTACATCACATGAAATCGACAGCCCTCATTGAAAATGATGAACTTGTGGTTGCTTTTTGCTGCAAAGCATGTGTGAACGGCCTACTTTGTTGTGCAGTCCTTGTGTTTTCTCTTTGAGCCGGTGCCAATCACAATGATTGAGCTCTCCAGATAGGCCTGACTGGAATGCATATATTAGACGGTTCAGTCCATAAACAGGGATTTGGAGTGCATGCCTTTCCCCTGAGCCCTCTGATCTGCCCGTTAAAGCGTCCGGGGTTGGATTAAACTGAGGGCCCTGTGTCTAAGAGATCAAAGACTCAGTGTGGTGAGGCCCTGACCCCAACCTTAAATGGGCTCCCCTTCTGCATTGATAAAGAACAGGATTTATATGTTACTCCTTTCTCATACTGCCAAATAAGCTTATATTACAAACGATCTAACAAATGATTTGTGGAAGTGAGTTTTGTAGCAAGTAGGGTTTGGAGATCTGATTGTTAGTCTATTTTAAAAAAACTACTGGAACTGAGGCCCTGTTTACACTAGTGCGTTTTCGTTTTAAAACGGCGTTTTAATATAAAAACTCGTCTACACTTGCGTTTTCACTGTGTTTCAGAAACGATCTCCGTCCACACTACACAACCGAAAACGCATGTCACATGACCATTCATGCAGGTACAACAATGAGCATGATGTTATTGTTTACACGGTCGTCAAGGATACGCAGAGCGAATGTTGGCAGCCACGCCATCGTTTTAAAAAGTCTCCGTTTTGGTCCGTTTACACTGAAATGCAACCCCGGGGTTTTCAAACTAAAACGGGGTCTGTAGCGTTTTCGAGGGATGAAAATGCTGGAGTAGAGTAAACGACAGGCGTAACCGTAGCAAAAGTTATGCGTTTTAAAACGAAAACTCACTAGTGTAAACGTAGCCTGAATCATTTTGGTTGGAATGAACCGTGTATTATTTGTATTAGAATAACAAATTATAAAATTGTATAAAAATGTTATGTGTACTTAAAGGGTTAGTTCACCCAAAAATTAAAATTAGGCTGTGTTTTACTCACCCCCGAGGCATCCTAGGTGTATATGACTTTCTTCTTTCAGACGAATCCAGTCGGAGTTATATTAAAAATTGTCCTGGCTATTTCAAGCTCTATCATTGCAGTCAGCGGGTGTTGCAGTGCTTCAGTCCAAAAGAAGTGAAATAAAAAGCGCCCATCCATAAAAAAATGTCTCACACGGCTCCGGGGGTGAAGCAGTTCCGGGCGGATGACGTATGAGGTCAGCACTGCGCATCCGCCGCTCAGAAGAGATGAACGCGGAAGCGCAGGGGAGAGATCAAAGCAAAACAACGGTCACTAATTAGAAGTACAAAACAAGGATTTGTAAAGAAGAATGTCAGAGGATTTCGATGTAAGCCAAGAGGAGACTGGTTTTCCTTTGCTAAAGTAAGGAAACTTTGCTTCCTTTGCTCCTGTTAACAAACGTTGGTTTTCACTAGACTCACCAGCGCGTGCGCAATGCTGACCTCATACGTCATCCTCCCGGAGCTGCTTCCGTGTAGGACTGTTGACGCAAGCTAGATTAAAGTGATTATTACGTTTTGAATATGGATATTTTTCTTACAAAAATGCATCGATTCGCTACAGGAGGCCTTTGTTCACCCCCCCGGAGCCGTGTGAGACACTTTTTTATGGATGGGCGCTTTTTATTTCACTTCTTTTGGACTGAAGCACTGCAACACCCGCTGAGTGCAACGATAGAGCTTGGAATAGCCAGGACAATTTTTTATATAACTCCGACTGGATTCGTCTGAAAGAAGAAAGTCATATACACCTAGGATGCCTCGGGGGTGAGTAAAACACAACCTAATTTTCATTTTTGGGTGAACTAATCCTTTAAGGCACAGTTTTTCTAATATAAATATTAATATTTGTTATCTAATATAAATATTATTGTAAAATCAAAATAAAAAAAAGTAAAAATCGAAATGCTCTAAGTTTTTTTAAAATAAATAAAACTAATATTTTTATTGCATTTATTAAGTACATAATTAGCACCAATTATTTTGATTTCTCAAAATTAATAAAATAATCTGTAATGGAATCATAAAGGAACCTGAACCATTCAGAATCTGAGCAATTTAATTTTCTAACAATCCCCATTTTTACTTGTGAGTCGACCATTTCATGTGACAGAGGCCTTTTTTTTCTTTATTTTGCAGGAGGTGAACAATGTGCGTGATCTGCTGTATGACTTCCCCTGGTTTCACGTGGGACGACTCACTTTTCTGGTAACATTTAATGTTACGGCTTTTTACATTATTAGATCACACCAGACCTCACTGTTTCTCCCTCATTCCAAGTCATTTTGAGTTGGTTTATCTGAACTCCATGAAGTGATTTGAATTGTGGTGCTTGATCACCTGCTCTGACATTAAAAGTTACTTTTTTACAAATACAGAGGTTCTGTCTTCTGTCTTCTCTGCACAGGGGAAGAAGTTTGAGATCCAGCCCGATGGTTTGCCCTCTGCGAGAAAGCTGGTGTACTACACGGGTTCGGCTTTTCGTTCCCGACATCTTCTGCTGCATTTAAGTTCCTGTCACCGATTGTACCTCAGTTTGCAACCTGCACTCAAACACCTGCGGCAGCTTGAGGAGTCAGAGGGTGTGTGTCCACACAATATTCATCTACAGGCCCTTCATGCTTGCTTTTGTAGTATGATTTTGTTTCCCCCTTGTTTGTAGTATGTTTTGTTTCTGATGCGATACTTCAAAATTCACATAAAAACAGAGTGATGGAAACATAGCTAGTGACCTCTGGCTTCTTGATCGCAATATTTGAATCAAGCATTTTTTCTAAAGCTGCTTTGAAATGATTTGTATTGTGAAAAGCGCTATACAAGTAAATATAATTTAAATTGAAAAATAAGGTGACCAGATTTTTTAAATGGAAACTGAGGACATAATAAAATAATAAATAATAAAATTTATTATATAATAAACATAAAATATATAAAAAATAGTAACTGTTGCAAATAGCAAAAAAATTCAAAACAGTATTATAACAAAATTATGACTTTACAAAACCACCAAAAACCAGGACTGTCCCCGGAAACAGACGTCTGGTCACCCTATTGAAATATACAGTTTATAAATTTTTCCCCCATTAATTTTGGTTGAAATAAGACCTGGATATGTTAAAGTGTTTGTGAGAATCACCCTTATTAGTCACAGAATTATTGTACCATGTCAGGCTGTTTTTGACAAAACATTATTTTCTCCATCTTCGGATCCAGAGAAGAAGAGGTACCGTGAATCGTACATCAGTGATGAGCTAGACCTGGATCAGCCGTGCAGCGAGGGCAGTCCCCGTCTGTCTCGACACTCCACCAGCAGCTCTGGCATTGAGGCGGACGCCAGGCAACACAGCGTCTCCGTAGAGATGGTTTCCATGGAGGAGAAGGAAAAGTCCTTCATCTCTGCTGTCAGTCACGGCTCCTCACACACCTCTGGCATCGACACGAGCAGCAAAGCTCGGACTGATGAAGATGAGTGGCAGGAGGAAGGTGAGGTCAAACAACTTTAGTGATATTTAATAAAATACTTTTGCAGTTGTTTTGCAACAGTATAAAATGTCCCGCTCATCAATTTGACATGGTCTGCTGACAGATAGGCATTGCTGGGATTCCTTGCATATGTAATGCTAGAAAGACGTAGGTGAAGCTATAGAGGTTGTTCTGAAGTTATTTAGTCTATTTGCTCAGCCAGCTTGACTTGCAAAATATCACGTTCGCACTGACAATGAAAGACAAAATGTTTTGTCACCACGTTAGATTTTTGACAAGGTTAAGCACAGATTAGCCCATGATGGACAGTTTGTGATGAAATCTCAATGTAGATTTGCAGGATGTGGTGAAGGAGCCCGGGGAGGTCTCTGTGGACGACCCTGTGGATATCTTGCGATTGGCTGACTGTCCCACCAGCCAATCAGACACTGAATTTAAAGGTGATGACTCACAAAACAATCCGAATTAGGTCACTTTCAAACAATTCCACATCTGACACATCCAGTCTGAAAACTGATCTACATTATTTGATCTGTTTCTGATTCATTTGTAACCAATTCTTTCATTTTTTATTTTTCATTGTTGCATAACATAAAAATAAAGTTACTAAAAGCATGGTAAATGTTTAAATCATGGAGAAAGTGCTTGCATACCACTACTGGCAAGTGAGCAACTAGTGCAAGATTAATATAATTATATAGAATCATTTATTATGGTGCTGATTATTATTATATATTTTATATTATTATATTATGATATATTTTAATTGTATGATTGATATATAATATTATTTAGCAATTGTCATGCGAATAATGTTTATTTGTTATTAATGCTTTTGAAAGAACTCTAAAACCAAGTGCTTATCAAGGCTGAAGTTTTTTTGATAAAAATACAGTAAAAACAGTGAAAACAGTGAAATATTACAATTAAAAATAGCTGTATTCCTTTTGTGATATATTTTGAAATGTAATTTATTCCTGTGATGCAAAGCTGAATTTCCTGCAGCCATTACTCCAGTCTTCAGTGTCACATGATCCTTCAGAAATCATTCTAATATGCTGATTTTATTACTCAATAAATTATTATTTTTATTTATTTAAAACAGATGTGCTGCAAAATATTTTTGTGGAAATATACTTTTTTTAAATTGTTTTTTTTAAAGATTTTCAAGACCGCTTTTTAATTTTGTTTTTTTTTGTAACAATATATTAGTCTTGTCTGTCACTTGATCAATTTAATTAATCCTTGCTGAATAAAAGTATGAATTTCTTTCCTAAACTTTTGAACGGCAATGTATAAATTGAATGTAAACAGATGGGACCAGAAATCAATGTGTCAGAATATTGTATCTGTGCATTAGGTCTTAAAGCATAAATGTAGTTTTTTGACAATTTTGAAATACAGTAAATCAATATTTTGCTTGTAGTCTTTGATGAGAATATAAATCTGATCCTGTTTACTGTAACATCTGTTTCCAGGTCTACAAATGAGTTCAGTTACAGGGAATGATCAAATGGACCATTGTGATCCAGATAGCATGAAACAGGTTTGCCGTCTCTGTCTTCTTCAGTCTTTCACTTTTCATTCCTTCATCATGTCACTAATTGCTCTCATCACCCATTACAGGTTTCCAATCAGAAGGGTCGTAACCCGGCCGACCGCTACAGTCTGAGCCTGGACGACGTGCGACTGTATTCCCCCCTTCTCCCTCTGGGAACGGCATCGGTTCTAGACACATCCGTCAGCTACACGTTTGGGCTTCCGCACTCCTCGACCAGTACATGTCCAGACAGTACTTCATTCTGTGTCCAGCGCTCCACGAACTGCCTATCTCTGGACCTGCTGGATGATAACCAGTTGCTGGAGCTTGTCCTTTAAGAAACTGAGAAGACTGCAGCTTCCTGTTGTCTTGTCATTAAACTGGACAGAAAAATAAAGACAAAACTGAGGCATTAACAGGACACATTTTTATCAGGAATTTCATTAAAACTCAACCAATGTGTTTCTTCAGGAGAGTATGAACAAATGTGTTTGTTTTTTTTTAACAATTTTTTACAAATCTTCGGTCATGTAGAATTTTGTGTTGAACTTTCTACAGAATGTGTTAATGAGTAACCTTAAGAGAAGCAAGGCATTACTACACTAACATTGGGCCTTGATAAAATGACTTTATAAAACCTTCTCTTCCAAGTAAATTCCACAATAAGCAACAGGAGTCATCGCCCACAGTGAACCTTCATTGGTCCAAATCCTGTTCTGCATGGCAGAACTGTATATTAAACAACAAAACTAAACATTTTCACATTCAGGACAGACAAATTACTTGTTGGTTCACATCTTCTTAGGACATGTTGTAACATGTTATGCTACAAATGTTGTTTAGGGAAAGAAACTTTGGACCTCTGAATTTCACATTTGCTCTAAGATGGCTTGAGAATGTCAAAATTGGAGGAACATTCTCTGAATTACATTATGAAAACAGATAGAAGCTACCAGAAAATCCACTGAGTGCACAAAAACAAGTCCTGTACTCATGCAATAAAATGCCATGCAAGACTTTTAACTTGGGAGTTTGTCTGGCTAATCAATATCAGTGTGCTTAATCAATATCAAATACGATACAAGAATTCACATTCACAAGTCTTTTTCAGTCATGATAAGGCACTGAACGTGCACCACCTCTTCTCCTGTTTCAAATAATAATTGTGTACAGACAATACTCATGTTCCCAAGTTACAAAGCATGTGTGAACCCGCTTAAACCAGCAATTGGAACCAAGTTAAAAGGTCAAACCAAAATATTCCATGTCTGTTTTCTATGAGATCTAACCACTGGTTTAATATAATATCACATAGATCTTTACTACACAAGTCATGTTGAACTTTTAAGAACAATAAGAACAAAGACACGTTCGCTGTATATAGATCCGTGTTTGTTTTGTTCTGAATACATGGAGCTCTTTTGTTTTCGATAATTACAAAACTCACATCAAGCCCTCAGAGGTTGTGTATATAATGGTGGGTGTCATTTCTTCATCTATGTATTGTAAACACACATCCTATTAAAAGCATGCTCATATATGTGTTCCTTTCAGTGAAAGGAAAAGCAATAAGAATGAATAGTATGAATAAATATAGATGTTTTGAAATTCCATAGTACAATATGTGTATGTGTTATTCATTACATAGAAATACAATAAACTCACTGATAAAAGCAATTAGCATAACCGCAGGGTATGATAATGGGTGTAGGTTTGATTTTGGCATTGGTGGGGACATAACTGCAGACAACAGACATTTAATTGTTTGACCAAAATTATTGCTAGGGACAATTTAGTAATCGCTGGACATTAGTTGGCGACATGTCATAGCATATGAAGGTATTTTGGGGGCAACTGAGCGCCTGTGACAGTGGAAGTTGTAGTTGTAGAGAATAGCCACACATCTGTATCATTGAATTTGAAGTCACAGACAAAATTTGCAAACTTGTAGATTTTTCTTTCTCTCCCACAAACACAACATTTACACCTTTACTCTCACATTTTTTGCTACTATTGCTGCAGTGAATATGGTGCAAAATACAAAACACACAAGTCATGGACAGATTTTGTACATTTTATTAAAACTTGCAAAGCCTTTTCAGTCGAAATATGTAAATAAAGCGTAGTATATTAATGCAAATGCAAAGAAAGAAAGAAAGAAATAGTCGCCATGTGCCCCCTGCTGGCAGCAGCGTTTCTCACTCAGCGCATGCGTCAATCGGTCACGTAATATTTCCGGAAGTAGACGCACCGGTTCACACGTGTGCAGCAGGCAAAACCATCAAACCGGATTTGAGCCATTTTAAAGCTGTGGGTGTTTTTAACTCAAAAGGGCTACTAAGAAAATGTCTAATTTTTTGATAAACACCCTTTTGTCCCACCATCCCGATCCCGAGAATTTGTTCAGTACGCTGTGCTGGCCAAGCACATCACGCCCCGACATAGAGAAGATTGAAGCTTTAACTGTTTTGATCAAGGAGCTTTCCAATAAATCACAAGAGGAGCGCTTTATTTGTAAAGTGCAGTCAGTGATATGGAACCAATGCATGCCACTAATGCAAACGATCTCCAGTGCAGATGATGGAGGTAAAGATATGCTCAGTGCTGTCTGTGGACTCTTTGCAGTGTGTGTCAGTACCTGTCAGACCCATGATGTACCTGAGAAGGTAAGTCACGCTCTTCTGCCTGTGCTGTTGTCGAGAGATGATGGCAACCATGAATCCAGCAGGTTTGACATGGATGTTGCCATTGAATTCACAGCAGTGCTGTTATCCAGCATCTCATATGACAGAGACATCATCTCCAGGACCTTGTCCTGCTCCCTTTGCTGTGTCAAAGATCTCTCTGACTCCGTAATCTCAAAAATCATAGTCCGGATCTGGTTCACCATACTCAAGTCCTGCGATAAAGACTCTGAATCAGAGGTCCTACATCAGATATGGGATGATTTACTGTCATGGCATCAGAGAGATCAGACCGAATCCGTATCAGCTCGGGTTCTGTTGTGTCTCACTGCTCTCTCCGACCACCTCTACTCATTTGAAACCTCTCAGACCCGGCCGGATCCTAGAAGATCTCAAAGGTTTTTTAGGGCAATTCAGGCCGGATTGACCCACAAGGACAGTGTGACCCGCAAACGGGCGCTTTACCTGCTCACAAGGTGTGTGGCACTGGCAGAGATCAAGAAAGAAGATGTGTTTACTAGCGAGGAACCTAACAGGGGTAAGACAACATTCATGGTGTGTAAGATGTTTATGATTTCTAACACTATTCACATGCATCTCTTGGATCTCTGCAGATGAGATACTGTTCAGATGGACTCCAGAAAAAAAGCAGTTACTGAGGGAATTCTGGGAAGATTATGCTCTAGTATTAGAGACTCTAGAGGAAAAGAATACTTTATTTTGTGTTTCAGATTCACAAAACCCCACTGGATATATTCAGAATAGCAAACTACCATACTAAAATGAAAAATTCATTTTGAATGAATGAATCTGAATGTTGGCCTTATTGTTGTGGAAACAAGTATTTGTGAACTGCATTTTGCATTAGTGTGTCTTATATTGTTTATCTATTTTATTAAATTTTTTTAAGATTCACGTGATCCGACCTGTACTCAACAGGATCGACATGCTCGTTGAGACAACGGCGACTGACATCCAAGGTTGGTCACGTTTCTTTTGTGGCAGCATATGGCATAATACAGTTTTCCGCTGACTGGCCTTGAATCTCTGCTTAATCTTGTTCTCCAACTCTCTCCATCCTCAGGTGGGCTGTTTTCTCCATCCTGGCTGCTGTGTGTGTATCAGCGCATGTTTCACAGTGAGAACAAGGCAGTTATGAAGGAAGGAGTCAATCACCTGTTAGAACTGAAAGCACTGCATCGTCCTGCGTTTGCTTTGGCATTCTCACAGGTATCCATCCATGAATCTTAAGATAATAGGATGTTATTCCTTATAAGATACTGTAACTAAATATTCAGTTTAACCCAGAAATATGTCACATTATGAAATAAATAAAATAAATAAATAAAAAACACTTCTTGATAATGAACATTCTTCTTGTTGTCAGTTTGTAATCGGTCCTCTCATGGATGTTCTTGCAGAGAGCTCTCTCTATCACAGGTAACTGTTGTCTGGTGTTAAATTTCATACTGGATAAGGTTTTATTACAATATACAGTTTGTCTCAATCTTAAAATGCTTGTTTCCACAGAGCACCACAGCAGAACATTAGAGATTGTCCAGAGCTTGGAGTGAAACTCCAAATGTTTATGGTGAATTTCTTCAAAAGTTTGCCAGTAACCCAGAAATATGTCACATTATGAAAGAAATAAAATAAATAAATAAAAAACACTTGAACATTCTTCTGGTTGTCAGTTTGTAATCGGTCCTCTCATGGATGTTCTTGCAGAGAGCTCTCTCTATCACAGGTAACTGTTGTCTGGTGTTACATTTCATACTGGATAAGGTTTTATTACAATATACAGTTTGTCTCAATCTTAAAATGCTTGTTTCCACAGAGCACCACAGCAGAACATTAGAGATTGTCCAGAGCTTGGAGTGAAACTCCAAATGTTTATGGTGAATTTCTTCAAAAGTTTGCCAGAAGAGAACAGAGGTAAAGAGAACCAGTTTATGTTTGTGGAGATGTTTTGGTCTTGCATTTTAGGTTTTTAAATAAAACCATGAAAAAGACTCCATGGTATTTTAAGCTGGTCTGAAATGTGCAATTTTACATCTAGAATGTATGTTGTTGTCGTGACCAGGTTCAGTGTTGCTGCAGCTCGCTCAGCGGTTGGGATCACGGCACTGGTGCGCAGTTCCGCTGCTCTTTCTGTCCCAGGCCCTGTCCTGTCTGTCCCCCTGTCCTCTACTAGGATCTGATGGACTTCATGCATTCAGGTACAAACTACTAGCTGCTGGAATCCAGTGATCTTGCAATTGGAGAAATGTAGTGAGTGTTAAGTACAAATGAAAGGAGATGTGCTACTGTTTTTATCTATTGTAAAGCATACATTATTTTAGAATATTTTGTTTTGCATTATCATCATTACTAAAGACTTCTAAATAGACAAATATAAACTGCCTATGGATTAATATTTTACCAAAAAACTAAATGTAACAATTTTATATGAGTTGGATCAGATAGTGAAAGAAAAGCAGCCAATCCTTCAGTGCTGTTTAAAATGCATCATGTGATGTAAATCGACTGATGTAATTGGTTGAGAGAATGTCCAGAGTGAGCAGAGCTGCAGTCTGATCTATAAAACGGACATCTGTAGAGATCAGACTTGATGAAAGCACATATTTGTTGCAATAATACATGTGTTTGTAAGTCACATAATCTGCTGGTGTTTTTGTGTTCAGAGAAGTTCTGCGCTGCACTATGATCACTCACCAGGTTCTTCTGAGAGGAGCTTCGCAGTGTTTTCTGCTCCGTGCTGCTCTCTGCCTGACAGATGTGGTACTGTAGCTTTCCCCCTTCAAATCCATAATCCT